AAAAAAAAAAAAAAAACAAAGAAATAAAAGAAATAAGGAGTTCAATGTAAATAGTTTTACTTTTAATAACAATTTATTCAAATTTAATGTTATACTATATATAAAAATTTTGTGCCGTTCGATAGATCAACAATATACAGTTAAATACATTGTTATAACAGTAACTTTTTTTAACACAAAATTTCAGGCGGAATTCTTAATAGATGCATCATTGATAAACATTAATTTATTTCTATAGAGCTTATTTTTTTTTTTTTTTTTGTTAAAAAAGTTTCAAAAAAAGTTGAAAAATAAGGTAAAAAGAAAAAATATTAAAATAAAGAATTTCATAAATTGAAATTTAAATGAAATCATTCCAAACTAAATTCCTTATAATATATTAATGAACTTCTTAAAGAATAATATACATATATTATTACATGTGATTGAAAGAAACAGAAAGAAAAAAGGTTTCATCTCACAGAAAAATTTTTAGTTATGTTTGTTATTATTAAAGAGATTACCACATGCAGTGTAAAATTAACCTGTTGATCGGGATGAACAAAATATTGAAAATTATGATGATGATGATGTAGTAAAAATTTTCTAAATTGGGTTCATTCTTAAATTATCTTTCTTAAAGGAATTTCCAAATTATAAATATAAAAGAAGATTTTTTTAATATAAATTCCCGATGCTCTAATCATCGCATGGTTGTACTACGTTAATATACTAAATATTATACAATTTGAAATAATTTTAATTCCCGTAGTTTTATATAATATGGTTAATTATCCCGAATTATTAACGATCCTTTTTTTTTTTATTTCTTGATTTACACCGAAACGAAAATTATAATTTACTAAATTTGTTAAAAAGAATTTTTTGTAACCTTCGGTCCGGTTGTCCGTCCGTCACGTGATGTCGGAACTCGGACTTCTGTTTCTTATTTTGTAATCATTTTTCAACTACTTGTATATCATCATATATCATCATCATATATCATCACTTTTCTCCTTTTCATTTACCGGTTTTGTGTTACATTACAATTTTTTCATCTTCTGCTGATTTCAGGTGTAACCAATCTACGAGTAGATTTTTAGAGGTCTTAAAAATTACTTTTGACAATGTATAAACTTCTTATTTAATTAATTATTCAATTACTTTACCGTATAAAGTACTAGGGGGCCGATACTAAGTGAAGAACCAGGTACTATTTTTACTCTAATACTATGTAGGGAGAATTGTATAGTATATAGATATCTTTTTTAATCCTTATATAATACCGGGATTCTCGGAAAATGATGCAATTTCGTCGACAAATCCATCACATAATTTCCATCCCGTTAATATATAATTTATTATCTATCAAGGAATTGATCTATCTCTATAAGTAATATTAGAAGTCAATAACTTTTTTGGTTAAAGTATGAAGTAGACAATGAGTCTCCTTAACCTGGACTACTAGAGTACTGGTCTAAGGTTGTTTAACCTGACTAGTCAAATTTGATTGGTCAACATAATAATAAATAGCTGGTATTTTCCTCGAATTATATTGTTATTGTATTCTGGTTGAGTTTAGCAGATAATTATGAATTGCTATATATGGATAATTTAGTTAGCTCACTTTAATAACGAATTTAATTTTTAATATAGCGGATCTTCAGTATGGTACCGAATACCGATTTTAATATTTAATATATACCGAATATCATTAATTAAATGCCTTATTTACCGTTTAACGAAGTAAAATCTACTTCTCATAACGAATTTTTTTTTTTTACAATCGATTTTTTAGATTTTGTGCGACATGAAACTTTTTCACGTTGTACATTTAATATAATGAGTATATACCAAAATTATACCATATTTTTCTAATATCGTTATAAGATGGTAAAATGATAATACTTCGTGTATTTTTGACTTTATAATGATAGTACATGTATTTCGTGTACTTTTTTAATGCTAATAAAAAATAATTTTTTAATAATATTACTGCAAAATCTAACAAATATTGTGCTCTTTAAAAAATAATTTGATAAAAACACTATTCAGATACATTTGATACATTTTAAAATCAAAATATTTGAAATAAATATTATTAAAAAGTTTCGTGAAAACGTTTCTAAGACAATGTTCTAAATTCATTGGACCAGATTGAATCGTGGTCCAAGGACAAGGATATAAGGATATAAGGATGTTCGTGGACAACGTTAATATATAAGGAAGCATTGTCTATTGTCTATATATGTAAGTATATTTAGTGATACAAATTTTCAGAGTATCATGGCAAATACCAGTCCGTAAATTCTGTTAAATCAATTAGGAAATTTATTATACGTTGTATATGTTTTTCAAAGTCGATTGACAATGAAAATCGTACAAAATGATAACAATGTATAATAGACAACAATTTTTTTTTTTTTTTAAGTAAGAATGAAATTAAAATACTTTTCTTCTTTATTAAAGAATTTCAAAGTTTCACATCTTTAATATACATTCCCAATCGGTAAATTCCTATTAAAAAGGTTACCATATCCAGTATATTCATTCATTGTGGTTATACTTTAAATCACGTAATTAGCTTTTTTATTGTTGAAATTATATATATAATTCCTTTATACATGATTCGAACTTTTATTGAAAAGAATTAGTATAAACTATCCAATAACAATTCATCATCCAACTAATGCTGGCCAAGGATTACCAACCAAAATTTAACAGAATTGTAATTCCGTATTAATTCATCAATATTACTTAACTTTTTAATATATATAATTGAACACGATTTATTTGTATTAATTATTGGCGGTGCAGTCAAAATTTTATCAATAAAACAAAATTTACTTTTTTTTCTGAAGTAAATCAATTAGAGATTTTATTAATCCTAATTACAACAATTATAAGAATAGTAAATAATATATTTGTACGTGATTCTAGGAAACATTATTTAATAAAAAACTTGTAAACATCTCGTTACATCAAGATTACGATTAATTATCAGCACAATGATGTTTTCTCATCCTACAACTTATTTTTATTTGCTTTGCCAACTATCTGCTATATTAATTTAATAATTTAGTTGTTGAATTAGCACTTTTCCATTTCTAATTGATTCAATTTGTGTATTTATCAATAATAAATTGTATTCTGAGGTCTCAGTATCACGCCGGAGTAACTGTTCTTAGTCAATGTCATAAAAGTTCCCCTAGTATCTTCAAAGGAATAGGACATGCACCTCCTTCTTTAAAGTAGCAAAAGCATCTGTCGACGACTGCATCGCCTCCACTCCAAAGCTTTCTGACGATATTTGTTCAGATTCCGGAGTACGAACCATTCTTTCATGTCATCCATACCCGCAAAATTATGTTGATTATTTTCGTAATTGGAAAGGGTTAGATGAAAAAAATATAACCGATAGCAAAAATCATATTTGAAAATGTAACCTTTGCAAATCACACTAGCATTACTATGTTCTTTTGGTGTCAACAAATCAACAAGTGTAGATAGTTTTTCATTGCATGTTTTTTACATCGATTGCAAGAAGCTAATGCTGAAATGTGTCCGCAAATTTTTCTTGCTGCTGGAATATCACAAGATACGAGGATCAAAGCAGCACGAAATGTTCGACCTGATCAGATCAACTGGCCACTACACGTCTTATACGGGAGTATCTTTTGGTCACTTCGCGTTTAATTGCTGACTCTATACGGTTTTTTAACGGAATCCTTATTAACGATTCGTAAGTTTCTGTTGTAAACCCGTTAATTGAACCGTTTCTGTAGAAACTTGACTTCCAAACAAAGTGCCTGCGTTAATTTTGGTCGTAAATTAACAGCATCTAGAAGGGCAGTCAATGTTGCTATAATATGATAACGCCAATTATGCAATTTAATCGTAACATTGCAGTTCATCGTCGTATTTTCTGATCCTTTGTTGCTGCGCCGTTTGAGTATGATTATCGAGTATACTTCGAAATAGATTTTTTAACTAAAATGTAAAATTAAGTAAAAAAGTTGAAATTAGTCAAATTTATGGTAAAATAAACTAGCAATAATAAATTATCAACCTCCTATTCATTTGGATGTACAATTGTCGTTTGATTTCTCTTGCCGATTATTATCATTATTTTCTTCTTCTTATTCTTCTTCATCTGATTTCTTATTATGCTAACTGTCTGGAGTTTGCTGATTTGTATGTACAACTAAAAAATTTAAACAATCTCTCAGTTCCATTTTTAGCCCTTGGGTTTCTGTTGCGGCTCTATCTTCGCATATCCGCTCACACATTGTTCCTTTTAGCTAAAGAAAAAGATTTAATGGGAATAGGATTGTTTATTATTTATGAAATGAAAAAAAAAAAATCTAAATAAAAGATAGAGTGTTTACCTTGTTTCTAATAATATACTGACTTTTATGACAAACTTTCTTCAAACTTTATAACGCGTAAAGTTTGATAAGTCAGAATAAGATAACTAAGGTCCATGACGCGATTTATCAGTGGATTATATGTCCAAAGAATTCTTGCTTACTGATTGTAATAAAAAATATATCATTGTTTCTATACGTTATCAGTTTTCATCAGTTTCATCTGTTTACAATTTCACATTATTATTCTAAAATTAACCCATGATCCAGTTTTATTTATTATATTGCTAAAAAAGTTCATTCCCTTTTCAAGGCTAATACTTGATATTGCAATTACCTGTAAAAAAAATAAACATAAAATACTTTAGTCAAAAATCTAAATCAGATAATCAGCTTTAATCATCTTGTCCTTTTTTCTTACCAGAAAAAACATGTTTAGATAGTTTAGATAGAAAGTCAACTATACTTGTACGAGAAATGCAACGTCGGAATTAAATAAAATTAGTTTGCAAAGTTCAAAAATGCTACATATTTGTTTTGCTTAGAACTTTCGTTTGTAATGCTTGGTGATTTCAGGAATATGTTTGTTTTACAATAAACTTCGGAAGAAATGAAAGGAATAAAAAATTTGAAATTTTTTTTGTTGGAAAGATTTTTCTGTTGCACAATGATAATCATCTCGGCAATAATTTTTTCCAAGTAAACCGTACTTTGTTGCAATGAGGCTGAAAAGATTGGGCATAAAAAAAATAGAAAAAAAAATACTAGATAATCAAGTAATCAAGCGTACTGCATATTTCTATCGTGAAAATCATACAAGTAAAATATGATATTATACCAAAATATTCCCGTGCTAATCGTTATTATTATTTTTTTTTTTTAGGGAGTATTATATAATTAATGCATGTAAATGTAAATGAATAAATGATAATTACTACTTTGAGTAATCAATTTTTTGTCAATATGGATATAAGCCACATAACAATTTTTGATCTTTGATTCAACGACTGAATTAAAAATTGATATCTTAGATTCCCCTGAATCCCCTGAATCCCTGATACATATGAACATATGAACAATAATTACCAAAATTAGATACTTTGGTGGCATTACGGCATTACGATGACAAATGTCAGATCATCTCCATATTTGCTGAAAGTAACTGCGGATAAAGAGTCTAATTATCAAAGCGGATTTGATATGATGCTGATTTATATCGTATTGATTTATGTTATGTACGATTTATAGATTTTTTTTTTTTTTTTTTAGACATGTCGTGCAAAACCATCTCTGCAAAAGAAATTTCCGCAAGTTATAGGTAACATCTAATAACATGTGAAGATTTTAGTTAAGAAAGTAGTTTTTGTACTAAATAGTCAAGTAAAAAGAGATCAAAATTGGAATCATATGGCATCCCCATCAAATTTTTTAGTCTATTCGAATTATAATGAAAACAAGTTTACTATGATAATTTTTTTTTGATCTTAAATTCTTTTAGAGAAGAATTAAAGACTATGATAAAAACTCGTGGAATTAAACCAAAACTTGTTGGATTTCTTGCTAATGAAGATCCTGCTTCTATAAAATATGCGGAATGTACATCGAAAACATGTGAAGAAACTGGTGTAATATTTGAATTGAGAAAATGTAATAGAGAAGAATTAAAAGATCAAATTATTGAAGCAAATGAAGACGATAGTGTACATGGTATAATGGTGTATTATCCAGTATTTGGAGATCTTCAGGTAAGCTAACTAAAAAAGAGATTTAAAAATTCTTTTTTAAACCATTCCCTTTTTTTTTAGGATCAATATCTTCAAAACGTTGTTAGTGTCACAAAAGATGTAGAAGGATTGTGCCAAATATGTAATTCATATCAAAATATCCCATATCTTGACGAGGAACAAATTAAAAATTACATCATTCCTTGTACTCCATTAGCCATAATTAAGGTAAAATAGTTTTAAAAATTTATTTGTAAATGTAAATTTAATCTTTCAAACATGTTTTAGGTAATGGAATATATTAGGGTATATAATTCGGTTCTTTTATATGGAAATCGATTACATGGATGCGTAATTACTATAATTAATCGTAGTGAAATTGTAGGACGACCTCTTGCTGTTTTATTAGCTAATGAAGGAGGAAAAGTATATTCTGTAGATATTAATAATATACAAGAAATTCATCATGGAACCGAATTGAAATTAAAAACATATGAGGTATTAAAAAGAAATTGAAACTTTTAAAGTTTTTTATTTCCTAATATATAAATTTATTTATTTTAATTAGGTTCGAATTACAAATTTGAAACTTGAGGAAATTTTACCAATTTCAGATGTAGTAATTACAGGAGTTCCAACACCTTCTTATAAAGTTCCGACTGCTTTATTACGTGAAGGAGTCATAGCTATAAATTTTTCCGCATTTAAAAATTTTGAAGATAATATTAAAGAAAAAGCCAGTATTTATGTTCCTACAATAGGTAAAATTACCATTACAATGTTGGAAAGAAATTTATTGAAATTGTATGATCGACAATTATCTCTAAAGAATGAAGAATGAATACGCTTTATAATTATATGAATGTATTAAGGGAAGCTCGTATATGTACAGTTAAATAAAACAGTAGTATACTGGGAGACGCGCCAAGTTACAATTGTCACATCGTAAAGATCTGTCACATTGTTCAAGAGTGAAATTGTTATCTAGTTGGAATGAACTGGACATTGTTCTATACATTGATAAGAAATCACATCCGTATTTTTAGAAATCGAATTAGATATTATAAATAAATATTGTATTATTGTTATCGGATTTAAAGAATCTAATAATAATTCAAATTCCGAATTAGGTTATAAAAACCAGCATTAGGCGGTTTGAAACAAATTGCTTAAATAACATAATTAAATGTTTCATGTTATTACCTTATTAAGATTTCTTTTTACCCTAAAATGTGATACATTGCAAGGTTCACTGTCAATAAGGGTATTAGTGGATATCTGATATGACAATATCATTCGGGGTTGATACACTAAATAAGATGAATTGTCCGCTTATTCTGCTAATCCTGAATATTTCCGGTACCTTCCTGCCAAGTGTACCATTACTGTTTTATCTGGAACTTTACTCAATAATAGAAGGAGAATATTAATATTACAATCAAATGAGAGAATCGTTAATTTATACGTTACGTAACCTTTTCGATAGATTTTATGATCAGCAATCACTAATTTCTTTAGGTCTAAACGATTTCTTTCCAAATTAGTATTAAGATGTTAAAATATACGCAATTTAAAATTCTTCTGGGGCAAAAAAAAAAAAGAAACTTGATAAACTTGATAAAGTATAGTATGTAGATCAAATTGATCAACACAATACACAAAAGAAACAAAGAAAACAATGAAATAATGTATAATGTAATATAATTTAAACCTGTCGGCAATTGAATTGCTTTTGCCAAATTTTACATTTCGTACAAAATAATGAATTTTTTTTTTTTTGAAAATTTTCAAATTTTCTGCGGAAAAATCCCTGATTTGATTATTCAATGAAAAAATATCTGAAAATAATTTTAATTATAAATAAATAAATAAAATTTCTTTATGCAAATATAAAAAAAATATAAATCATAATAAAAAATATATATGTAATAAATTATTTTTAAAAAATTATTTATCAAAAATTTCTTTTTTTTTATGTTCTAAATTTGGTCAATCATTTTAAAAAAATTATATATTTTTGGAAAAACTATATCAAATTTATTATTAATCAGCGCCTTGAATTAGAAATTTTTAATGAAAAAAAAATAAATAAATAAAATAAAATAAAATAAAATAAAAAATATAAAATAAAAAATATATATAAAATATATATATATAAAATAATTAATAAAAAGTAAATAATTAAAATTTCACATAATTTTTTTTTTCATCTTTATGAAATTTCGTAAAAATGATAAATTAACAAAATTTTGCATTCATTCTTTAAGCCTAAATCAAGTTTTTATTAGATCATAATGATGATATTCCCGATGAATGTTTCAAATTATGATCATCAATTGAAGTAAATATGGAAAAAATATACCAATAATTCAATAATTATGGATTATAATTTGTTAAATGATCATCTATCTTAAAATATAATTTATAATACAGAAATGCGTAATCATTTACCCAATTCAAATTTCCGATTTGAAAAAATATCAAATAAATAAATATCAGGAGATAAAGCATCTGATACTGCATCATTTTTTTTAAAATAGTTAACCTGTTCCGTTTTGGTAAGCTTTCTATTGAATCCGAAAAAAACAAACAAAAACCCTAAAAGTCTGGAAATGTTGTGCTTTTTTTGTTAAACAACGACTTAATATAAAAACTTACCATTTTTTACCTTCTTTTTAAAAAAAAAGGGAATGGTTTTTTTTTCATTTTTGTAAATATAACACGTTATAAATAGTTTGAAAATTCTTATTTTAGATTCCCCTGAAAAAAAAAAAAAAAAATTAAAAAAAAAATTTCATTAACTCTTACAATATTGGAAACAATTAAAGTTCATTTAATAAAATCATTTAAAAAGTCAATAAAAACTTTTTTTTACAAGTGTTTTTTTACTTATTGTTAAAATTCTCGTTGAAAAAAAAAAATTAATATGAACAATTTAAACCTTAATTCAGATCCAAAAACTCTTTTCCTTGACAGCAATATTAACCAAGACATAAAAAAATTATCTCGTTCAAAGTCTGAAAACTCTCCTAAATATCAGAATAAAAAGGGTGGTCTAATGCGCCGTAATTCAAGTAATGATAGTATATTAGGAATAAATTCATATTTTGATAAAGAAATACCGCCTCCTCCTCCTTATGATGTTCATTCAAATTCTAGTAATCCAAATTCTACCACTATTACAACAACAACAACTACTACTACTGTAACAACTGTTACAACAACTATGATATCAAACTCTGGTGATTCCACATTAAAACAACAACAACAATCAGATACGAATTCATCAAGTAATGTTGAACTTCCAAATATTACTGTGGTTTCTTATGAATCTTCTTGTGATACAAATAACAACGAACCGAAAGTTCTTGAAAATTCAAATTTCGCGTTGAATGGTGATAATAAACGTAAGCGTTCTGGATCTGCTCCAAGTGTTCCTATTATCTCATTTAAAGGTCAAGACGAGAATAAATATAAAAGTAATACTGTACCTTCAACAAAATCAATGGTAAATTTATTAGATTCAGGAAGAAATACTGTATTATTAAATAAATCTTATAAAGAGTCTCCACAACAATATCTTGAAAAATTACGAGATACTTTATCTAAATCAGAATTGGCTACTTTACTCACTAAAAGTAAAGATGTATTTCATGAAACTGTATTACGAACTTACATGGAAACTTTTGATTTCACTAGTGATCCGATCGATATCGCTTTAAGGTAAAGATTTTTTTATTTATCTGTTTGATTAATTTAATTTTTAAAAAATTTGATATATATTCATATATATATATATATATATATTTAAATAGAAAATTCCTTATGGATTGTCATTTGCCAAAGGAAACTCAACAAATTGATCGTGTTATGGAATCTTTTGCAAAGCGATATCATGATTGTAATCCGGGTTTATTCACTTCACCAGGTATGTAGAATTATAAATTTTAATTTAAATTATATGCACAATGATTTTTAATTATAACGTTATACTTTTAGACACTACGTATGTCCTTTCGTTTTCATTGTTAATGCTTCACACCGATGCATTCAACAAGAGTGTGAAACGTAAAATGACAAAAGAAGAATTTGTGAAAAATTCAAGGATTGATGGAGTTCCCCCAGAGATATTAGAAGTAAATTTTATTAATTTATTGTTATTTTTTATTCATCCTAATAAAAATAACTTAACCGAGTTCTATTTTAGATTCTTTATGATAATATCACCTTTATGCGATTTATCTATGCTGATGATGATACGGATGTAAATGGTCAAACTATGCTTTCTTCATCTTCTAGTAAAAATCGTAATTCAATGATATTTGGATTACTGGATCGATCCTCATGTGTCAAAAATGATCCTTACTTCGTCATCAAACATGTAAATTTTTTTTTGTTCATAACATATTTTTTAATCGTTAATCTTTCAAGAAGAAAGTTAGATTTTTATTTTTATTTTCTTTTTTTTTTATTTTTGATTTAGAAAGTTCCAACTGAATACACTCCATCGATTGAACATCTTGTACCAATTGAAAATCCTTTTTCACATAAAGGAACGCTTTCTGAATTCGATACAGTTGGTATTCACCGAGCATTTACAACGTCTCATACTATCCGTATCACAGGAGTGAGAAATAATGAAACGTTTAATCAAACATCATCTTCAATACATCCTTTAGATGATGAAGAAGGGACATTTCTTCTTAAAATCACTAAAGTTGGAAAATTAAGTCGTAAAGTTGATTTATTGGAAGGAAAAAAAGCTGGAGTTATGATGAGAAGTTGGAATCATTATGGTGTTATTTTAAGTGGAAGTCAATTAATGTTATTCAAAGATGATGATTGGTTCGACTCTAAAATTGCCGATTTGAAAGATCCATCGGTAATGTTATCTCGATTAACTTGAATTTCCTTTTTTTTTTTAGAAAAAAAGTAAAAACTAATTTAATCTTTTTATTTTTCTTTAATAAAGAAATCAACAACATTGTCTACATTAAAACCGGATGTACTCTTAATGACCTCAGAATCAGTTGCTTTATATGATAATAGCTATACGAAATATAAGTATGTATTTCGTCTAACATGTCCAAAAGGTAATCAATATCTTTTCCAAGCTGAAAATGAGGATGAAATGAACGATTGGATTACAAAGATAAATTATGCAGCCACATTTAAGACGGTTGGATTAAAAATGAGACACACTAGAAGCAGTAGTTTAAATCGTATTAAGAGTTTAAGCGTCAGTAATGTCAACATTATCAGTAATGTCAGTAATGGAACTAAAGTTCACAAAGAAAAGAAAAATACTTGTCCACAACCATACTTTAATTATCAACAAAACCGTAATGATGGTGGTAATATAAATGATGTCCATCGCAGATCAGAAGTTCTAAAAGTGTGTACATTTTTTAATTTGTTTATGTAATTTCATCATTTACTTATTTACTAACATTTAAAAAAAATATTTTTTTTTTTTACAAATAAAACTAGTTAAAGATCGCAGAACTTGATGGAAAAATTGCAACATTGAAATCACAATTAGATGCAGATATTCGATTTAGGAATAATTTAACAATAATGATTCCATATAAAGCGACAACAAAGGATAAAATGATTCAAGTAGCAACAGATTTAGGAAAAAGATTAAGACAAACATTTTTGGAGTTAAGTAGATTAAGTTGTTATCATGAGATTATGGAAAAAGATTTATATTCAACAATAATTGGAGATAATTGTTATTGGCAAAAAAGAAAAAGCATGCATAGAAATCATAAACATCTTTCCCACTTTTTTACAACTAAAAAAAACAATCATCTTAATTCAAAATATAATACATCAGACGGATATAAGAGTGATGGAGAAGTTAGCATTAAGGATAGACCAGCTACTTTTAATATTTTTTCATCATCCGAATTTTAATTAGTTTCTTATTTATTAACATAAAAATTTCATTGAAAGATCATATTTTTTTCTGTATATAATATAAAGTTAGACGTTTATGTACATTATTTAACATAATAAAATGTAACATTCAGTATTATAGACTTTTTTTATAAAAAAAAAAAAAGATTTAAGTAAATAAAAATGAAAATTTTACTCTTTTCATACTTTTCATGTCTCAAATATTAAGGGCAGTGTTGTACACAGAACATATCCAGTGATTTTTGTTGGACACGGACGTAAGTATGGCTGGCACTTATTAATTGAAAGCAATTGTGCTTGAGCTTGAGTCATTGAATCATAATGATATACGTTTCAAAATTATAAGAACTATCAATCTACATTTCTTGCAAGATACTTAGATACATCTTTGGCTTGATCCTCCCGTGGTTTCGGATTATTTGGTATCAAACTCGAACCATTTTAACCTTAAAATACGTCTATACTTCGTTGGGGTGTTCCATCAACTAAGTAAATCAAAATTATGTACAGTATCATATAAAAATTTAATATTAGACTTTATGCGAACTCTATAAATTATTTTCAGATTTGTTACTAATACAATATCAATTCTACAGAATTAACGATTTCTTTTTGGCTGGTAATAATCAACATTCGTAAAAGTTTAACGTTGCCTATTATGGAATTTAAATAAAAACCGCAATGGAATTGTGTGTTTCCTCTGTGTGATGCCGATCTTGAAATCATGGCAACATAAATAACGTTACACCACTATTTTTTTATTCTTATTTCTTTTCTTTATTATTTTCTTTGTTTAATAAATTATTTATTAAAATGGATGAAATTAAACTAAGCGATGATGTACTTGAACAAATAAAAGATTTTGATAGATATGGCCGCTTGACTGAAGAACAAAAATCATTAATTGATAAACTAATAACAGACAAAGAATTAAAAGAACGTTATATAAAATATGGTTTATGTAACTTTTGTAAACAGCCTGAAACTAATATTGGATATTGTCGGGCATGTAATTCACAACGTTTTAAACAAAATTTCAAGAATTGGACAAGTGGAAATCATGATGTTGATGAGTTTATCCAAAAAGTACAATTAAAAGCCACTAAAGATACCCTAATTATAGAGTGGATTGAATATGATAACTTTAAAGATGTTGAATATTTAGCAAAAGGGGGATTTGGAGCTACTTTTAAAGCAGTTTGGAAAGATGGTTTTATTGGTTGCTGGCGTGATGATATTAATCGATGGGGGAGAGCACCGATGTCAGAAGTTGCTTTAAAATGTTTATATAATTCACAAGGCATTACGGCAGATTTTTTAAAAGAAGTAAGATATTTTCTTATGAATATTAGCCTTTATAAATGTTTAACTAACTATAATTTATTTTTAAGATTGAATCACATATTTTGGTATATAAAAATAATACTGCTTTGGATTTTATAGTTCGTTGTCATGGTATTACCAAAGATCCAAAAACAAATAATTTTATGATGGTGATGGATTTAAAACATAGAAGTTTAAGGCAACATTTAAATAACTATTTCATTTCAACGAATTGGTACTCAAAATTGTGGATTTTACGTAGTATTGCATCTGGTCTTAAAGAAATTCATAACAAAGGATTAATTCATCGTGATTTTCATAGTGGAAATATATTAACCAGCCATACTGAAGGTACTTGTGCTTATATTACTGATTTGGGACTATGTCAACCAGCAAATGTCAAATCCAATAAAAATAGTAATAAAAAAATATATGGAGTATTACCTTATGTAGATCCAGAAGTTTTAAGAGGAAAAGAATATACGCAAGCAAGTGATATTTATGGATATGGAATTATTGCATATGAAATTTGTACAGGGCTTCCTCCTTATTATAATATTGCTCATGATGGATTCTTAGCTATTCGAATCTGCCAAGGACTTAGGCCAAAATCTGACTATAAAACTCCTCAATTAATTTTTGACATTATTAATCAATGTTGGGATGCAGACCCTTTAAAACGACCTAATGCAGATGAATTATTTACATTAATGGAGGATTTATGGGATCCTGTTTATCGGAATAAAGTGGATTCTGTAATTTATAGGCAATTAGAAGAAACAGATGATATTAATAAAAAGTTATCATCTTCAATGGTTCAATTACCATTATCATCTGCTAGTAATCTCTTATATACAACACATCCTCAAGCAGTTTATACAAGTAAACTTTTGGATTTTAAAAATCTTCCAGAATCCAAAAATGCAGACAATGATGATTTGGAATGTTCAGGTAATTTTAATTAAATATAATTATTTAAATTATTTAAATCTATTTAGAGTAATAATAATTCTTTATTTTACAGAATTCTTATTAACAAATGATTTAACTGAACTTAATATTAATTATATTAATTTTAAAGGTAATTTCTTTTGCATATGATTTTTGATCTATTAAATTTAATTAAACTATTTTTCTTTGTTATAGATAAAGAAAATTAAAACCCATTTACTTTAATTGAAAATATTTAACATGCAGTTTACCCTTATTATAGTAAATCCATAAATAAAATTCATTATAGTAAGAAATTCACTATATTGAAGGTCATTTTATTATATATAAAAAAATCTGTACAACTGTACCTAAACTTTTCTTCATTATAGCAAATTATTTACTATATAAAAATTCGCTATAAAAAGAATGAACTCATTGAACTGTAATTTTATTTTTATTTTGGAAATATTTTATATAAATATAGCTTTTATAATATTTTATTTTTATTAATAAATTTTATTTCTAAAATATTAAGTTTAACACTGATATTACACAAAGTGAACATAGGCTTTGTAAAATTACTTTTTTATAATGTTTTTATTATACAGTAAATTATATCCATTAGAAATTTATATATTAATTGTAAGAATAATTCAAATTAATAGTGCAACTAGTAATGTAGTTGAACTTTTACTACTAACTAATAATACTGTAAACTGTAAAGTATATAGATATCATAAAATGAATTAATTATATATAGTTTAACAGTATAAATTTTTTAAATTTCTTTAAATTTGTTATTAAAATTTAAAATATTTTAAAATATTTTAACTATAATAATAATAATAAACAAAGTACTTTAAAAAAAGAAAACTTATATTAAACCAAATTTGTCATAATAAAATTTAATAAATATTACATATATATAGGTTATGATAAATACTTCATAAAAAGAAAACTTATATTAGACCAATTAGACCAGTAATATGCATTTGTATTTTAATAGTATAAAAATTTGGTTGGAAGCTTTCAATCCAAATAGTTTTATTAGAAAATTATGCATTCAATCTTTCAAAAATGTTTTTATTAATGCTTTTAATCTTTCAAAAGTACATTAATTTTATTATAGTAAAATTTAATAAATATTATATTTATAAATTATGATATCTATTAATAACAAGTAATTCAAATGACTTCAAATAATTCAAATAACTGGTTATATATTATTTAGTCATTTTAATATTAAATGACAAATAATCTAGTTATTTAAAAATAACACCATAATTCTGACCAAAATTATTTATACAATTTCAATATTTTGCAAATAAAATTATTAAAAATTTGTAATTCTAGCTGGCATTATAATTTTAATCTAAATTAGTTTAGCATTAAATCTAAATAACTTAAATGACAAATAACTTAAATAATTAAATCATTTAAAAGTCATTCAGAATTATTCCAAAATGGCCAATAATCAGATTATTTACCATTATCACTACTATATATATATCAGTTACAGTATAAGAACTTATTTATATTTGTTATTAAAGAAAAGTATTTTTAATATTATTAGTATATTTTTGCCATTTATCATTATTAAAGGTTACATTTATAATTCATATACTTAATTTATTTAATTATTAATTTCAAATTGAAAGAGTTTTTCCTTCTTTTATTATCCATTATAATTGCTTTTATTATAAATTAAATATAATGTGACTTGAACTGTAATTGTTAAATTTATATAATTTAGAATGTTATATATATTAAATATGATATTAAATTTAAAATTTATAATTTATCCAGATAAAAAATTAAAAAATAAATATTAGTAAATAAAGATATAATTATTAAAAAAAAAAGTGCTAAATTAAAAGTTTTTTTGTAAGCATAATAAATAATTAATGAGAAATTAACAATAATATTCTTTTCGAAAAAATAAAACATAATATTTTATATTAAATTCGAATAAAGGTTTATTAATAATTTATGATATTAAAATCACATGTTATTAAAGATGAAATGCAAGTTATTGTTTTGATATTTTTAAATATTTAAAAGTATCGTTTGCAGTCTATCTAACACCTTTAATTTATTAAAAATTAAAATCAAAACTATGATTTTGTCTGTAAATATTTGTTAACATACTAGGAACGGAAAGTCAGAAGTACTTCATCACGTATCAGACAGACATTTTGTGTGAACAAATAAATTATTAGAATAATTTGTTTTAATATAAAATATTTTTTTTTACTTTTTGTATTCATAATTCTTTATAAATTATTTCAGATTTGTTACTAATACGATATCAATTTCACAAAATTAATAATTTCTTTTTGGCTGGTAACAATCAATTTGTAAAAGTTTAACGTTGCTATTGTTGTATTTCTGTAAGGACCCGCTTACTTCTAATATAAATGTCTGAAAATCTGTGGTAAAATTTATAGTAAAATTAAATTTTAGGTTTCTTAATTGTTAAAGATAAAATTATATATATAATAAAAAAAGGGCACTAGTTTTATAAGGTAAAATTAAAGGAAGTCTTTGGTTTTATAAGGTAAAATGAATTAATAATTTGTATAGGTTTCAGTATATATTAAGGTAAAATTTATATTATAAATTAGACCCTTAATTTTATAAATAAATACAACATGAAAATTTACCCCTTAATTGTAATAAATAACACGTAATAAAAAAAGACGTGATAGTATAACAAGTTTATAAAAAGAATTAGACGTGACGATGTAACAAGTTTATAAAAACTTTAGATGTGATGGTGTAACAAAATTATAATAAGATTTAAACGTGATGGTGTAACAACTTTAAATATCAAAATATAAACAAATTTAGATGAGATAGAAATTATTATAGACGTGATAGTGTAATGATAAAAATTTATATAAAGAACTTTAGAACAAAAGGGTGGTGATGGGGTAAGAGAGGAGAAAATCATATCCATAAATTTTTTTAAAAAATTTTGTAATTTCTCAGCATTATTTTTATATTAAATAACTAATTTTACTTCATTTTAGCATAGAAAATTTTTAATAATTTTTTAATTAATTAATAAAATTTATTAACCTTTATCTCAGTCAATATTAAACCTAGAAAAATGATTTTACTACTATTAAAATTGTCTTAATGAGATGATTCTAATGGTATAAAAGTTATCAAAATCAGATCACTGGATTTTTAATAATTTGCAAATTTATATTTTGTATTTTTTTATATTAAAATTTATTTATAGTAATAAAAATAATAAAATTTTGTATTAATTAATAGGCAATTTTTATTCGTACACAAGTGTCTCAAATACAGCATCACGTGATTAATAAAAAATTGATTTTTCAGGCGTTTAAACATGTATCACGTGATAATATTTTCATTATGTGCAAAATTTTTTTTATTATTTTTATTATAAAATTTAAATGCACATATATGCATATACATACTATTAAAAGTACGTATACATGCTATAATCTAACAACTATTTTGCATAATGTCCATATTGCTTGCACTTTCTACATTTTCGCCCTTTTGTATTATTTGTTTCCTCTTCTACTATAACATTGTCTGTTATCATATTAACTTTTGTACTATCCTTTAAAACCCGTTTTCCCAAAGTTTCTACACTAGATTTAAATCTTTTTAGAGGTCGTCCTTTATGTTTAGTAATAGCAGGATTATTAATATCAGTAAAGGTTTCTTGAGTTTCTTGAATTTTAACATTCTTATTATGTGTATTATAGATAAAAGACTTGAGTAAATTCATCAACTCATATTGCATATTGGCTTTAAGTGCACAATCAATGGCTTTCTTTGATAATCCAAATAACTCTGCATAAATAGCTTTATCGCAGTTTTCAAAATTCTGTAGATCCATTGATTGTATTGTATGACATGATTATCATTTTGTGATTATTGATTATTGATTATTATTTTTGTGTTACCAGATACAAAATAAAGCTCACGGTAAATTTTTACAACGCGTTCATCAGTTTTTTTTGTCACGTCTTATTTTTCTTTAGTTTCTTTAGTATGGTTAAATACGAAATTAGTACATGTTATGGTTGTCGCAAATGTATGTACTGCGGCTGTGACCTAAATACTGAAGTGTGTAAGTGTGATAAGACAATAAAACCTAAACTAAGTAACCGAACTAAAGTAGTTTCACATTCATTTTCACGAAATTTTAAGCTTAATATGCTTCTTTGTAAAAAAACCTTTATTCAAGAACGAAACACACTTTATTTATACAGTATAATAGTAATTTTAAAAAAAGATTTATTTTTACTTTTTGTTCTACATGTAATAGTCAGTTTCAAAGAATTTCCAATAAAACTAAAGCTATTACTAAAGAAAAACCCACTAATTCTAATGATGAATCTATAGTTTCTTCTGTTATTATTGATGTTGATAAAATTGTCAGTTCTCAAGATATGTGTTCTATTTCTAGTGAAAATGAAAGTGTTGATCAACATGATGAAATTTCGTTCACTCTTATTGTAAAAAAAGTAGATGGAAAGCAATTACCTGGAAAGTGGCTTACTTTTGACACTTCAACTTTCAAGAAATTTGTTACTCAAATACAAAAATATATTGAAACTATGATAGGAGAAGAAATTGATCAAGCAGAATACTCTTTAGCTTTCAAATCAGCTAAATCAAATGGTGGAGGTTTGGAGTTAAGCGAGTTAAAGGATTTTGAAAAGTTTTTGATTGAGTATAAAAAATTATTCAAAATGAAAAAGGAAGTTGTTGTAATTGCAAGTATGAACCGAAAAATTGGTAAGAAAAAAAAAAAAAAGCAAGTGGAGGTAAGAAATTATATAATTATAATTTATGAATTTACATTTATTGGAAACTGACTATATAATTTAAGGATGAGATTCTTGAATCTGACGAAGAAGAAAATAATTTGAAAAAGAAGAAAGTGAATTCTATTCCTAAGGTATCAGGTCTAACTCCTCATCAAAAAGTGATTGGTAAGTTAGTATCTAAACTCCGTAAGCAGTGGCATTGTTCTCAAGATAATGTGCCATGTTATGTTGCTTCGGGAATTCATTTAAAGTTGACAGCAAAACTTCTCGCAATGTGGGCAGAAAGCATTGTAAGTATTACCAATTGGATATGATTTACAATTATTGTTAATAATATTTGGTAATAATTTACTCTTAGATGGATGGGACTGCAACTATTGAAATTGCACCAACCCACCCAGATTTTGCTGTACAACATGCAACAAAAAATAATGTGCATTCATCGGCCACATTGATGGCATCACAAATGTCACAAATGTATCCTATTCAGCCTATTCAGTATATATCTCCTCAGTATTGCATGGTTAGGGAACCTTTGGCACCTGTCTCTAATTTTAGCGTAACATCACAACTTCCAATTCCAAGCATAGAAGAATTCTTGAAAAAGATAGATAAAGATGAAGGCGACAATGGGGATTTTATGCAGTTTATTGATGTGTTTAATGAACAAAATATATCTGTTAAACATATCAAAGATTTAGATGAGAATGATTTTCAAATTTTAGGCGTGAAGACAATTGGTTGGCGCAAAACCATTAAAGCTGCAGCAAAGCGATATGAATAAGTAAATTTAGTATTTTATGAACATTTATTGTAATAATTGTAATAGTTTAATGGATTTATAATAAATTTGATATGTTTACAAGTTGAAATTTGAATTTTTATTTGTACATTTATAACAAATAAGAAAATTATTACAAGTAAACCTGAAATTCTTTTTCTTTTTCCGTCTATCTAAATATTCTAATATATACATTTTATTGAATTTTATTCACATCTATATTATTAACTAAAGATATACTGTTCCCCTAAAAAAACTTTCTGCCATTGTGGGTGTGATATGAAGACTTGCTATAAAAAGTGCATAGATGGGATCATTAAAACTTTCTATATAATCACGATTTCTTTTCAAAAAACTTTTCATCACTGAAAAGGAAGTTTCAATGGGGTTCAAATCAGGAGAGTAAGGAGGAAGAAATTCTACACGAATTCCAAATGCTTGTAAATATTCAATTAGGCCCTCATCATGATGAATTTTCGCATTATCAAGAACAATAACACTGTTAGGGCCAGGATATGGATTCATTTTAGGTAGCTAAATAACATAAAAACAGATTAGTGATCCCAAAATATTTACAATATAAACTGATTATATATCTTACCACATCAGAAATAACAAAATCCTTGAATCGCTCTTTAGTGCAACTCCCTTCCATAATATCAATTGCTATAAATCCTTGCAATGATAAAGCGGGTAAGATTGTATATCTTTTACCACGTACAAATACTACACTTTTCCTTGCACATGTGTTTATCAAAGAATATCCATATCCATGTGATAAACTCTGTTCATCTTTTGCATTTTCGTCCAAAAAAACTAGTTGATCAGGAGTATAATTGATTCCCATGTTGGCAATAAATGCACCGCGAAGTATTTCATTTCGTTCTTTAGCATTTTTATGAAGCTATTATATAATTCATGATCAGTTAAAAAAAAATAATAAAATAAAATAAAATGATAATATATAACTCAACTACTATATTTACTTTTTTCCGTGTAATACCACAAAAACGCAAAGACCGCCACAATGTTGGAACAGATACTTTTTTTCCAGTTAAAACATCCATTTCAGATACAAGTTCATCCAAATACCAATCCACCTTATCGGCTACAAGTGCCTTTAATGCCTATATTGATTTAGTTTGTTAAAAGTGTAATGATTATTTCACAATAACTGAAAATGTCCTTTTATTGATGCTTAAACTTGCCTTCATATCCTCTCCATTGAAAGTTTTGCATTGTCCAGCTTTTTTTAGCCATGGATCAATTATACATCCTCACTTTCTGTAAATCCTCAAAACTTTCTTCACAGTATACTTACTCATATAGAGTATTTGCGCAATTTTCTTTGTAGAAAAACCATCATAGTATAAATATACTATTCGCCACTTCAAATCAGTGCTGAAAGCTGGTGGCATCAAGTAAATGGTTATAATCGAAAACTTTTTGGTCAAATAATCGCACAACTGACCAAAAATAATAGGAAATATTTAGAGTGCAGTGTGTGCAGAAGTTGCTAAAGGTGCTATAATTGCAAAAGAATCGTATAAAATCACGGTATAACAGCTGTTTTGTTAAGGAAGTTTTACTTTTTACTTAAAAATCTCATAATTTTTTTTATCAGGTGATCTGCAGGGGGTAGCACAATTTTGAAAACTGCGATAATTGATTTTATAGCCAAATTGAAAACATGTGAATCAACCCGAAATGAAAAAAAGTGGTGAAAGGTAATACTTTTTTCCATTCTTACTCTATCTTCTGTTTATGTATCATATACCAAAATAGGAGAAAGATTATCTAACTGAATATTGATATCTAGATACTATCACTGTACTATCGGCTTGGAATAATATTCATGTGAAATGCCACATGTTGAAAATAAGTACCAACTCGAAAAAAATGCTGGCATATTAATCCTTTATTGATCAAGAGAAGGCAAGTGCATAAATGTGTTTCTTCATCAAGCAGAACCATATAATGATCAATTACTTGAGTTCTAGTTGCTCAGACAAACCATACTTCTAGGATTGCTTCTGGTGATATATTCTTAATCAAGGATTTGAAAAGAATTTGCCGAACATCTTGTTCTTGTTCCCTGATTCCATTGCTTATCTCTTCATTATCAATCTCCACCTGTAAGGTAATTGTTAGTTTAAGATTATTATAATCAATACTAATAGAATCAAAACTTTAATACTTACATCTATTAAGTTTTGCCATTCTGTAATTCGATTAATATCATAACATACAGACTGATTCATTTGTGATCTTTGTTTTCCAAGCATTACAGGCGTTAAAAAGGCCTTCATGACATTATCTACAAAACCAAAAAATCTTGTATTTAGCATTGGCATACCAATTGTAGATATGGCATTTCGTTTAAGTTCAAAATATTCAAAATGTTCTTCATTTCTAACGTGATCTTTGATACTAAGTAGTAAATCATATAATGAAGTGGTTTGATCAACTTTATCATATATATGTCTATTGATTGACTCAATTCTCTGTATGTTTTGTGCTCCAGTAGTAAATCTTTTATGAATCCAAGGTATTGCTTAAGACTCTTTATTAATATAAAGTGTATCAGACAAATACTTTGCTGCTGCTGGATATTGATCAATTAATTTATTCCATCAAAGTTCAAATAAATTTTCACAAAGAGAATTCCTGCATATATAGAACTTATGGCGAAATTCTTCAAACTTATTTCCTAATTTTCCCTTGAGTTTTTTTTGAAGATTCAAATCAATATGAAAAATGCATAATAGATGCTTGGTATTCACATAAAATTCTTTAATTAATTGAATCATAGAAGGATCTGAATTAGTAAAAATAACTCCAGAAGAAATACCTGTTTCAGTAAGAATAGCATCAAATAACCATTAGTATGTATTTAGTGTTTAATCATCAATTATAGCAGTTGCAACAATTTGTGACTTGTAGTTATTATCAATTACAGCTATGATGCAAAGCATCATTTGAAATCTGTTTGTATTGTAGGTAGTATTAATAATAGTAATATCATTTTATTTGTTATATAGTTCCTTTTATTTGTGTAGGTGACATCTACAAGAGAGATTTTAGTTTTCTTGAGACAGGATCTAGCTGAAGTTTTACAATCCACAGTGGATTGGAATCTTTCCATTGCATTAATAATTCAAGCATCTGCCCTATAAAAAAAAATTTCTTTAAAATATACTTAAAATATACTTATATATTTTTAAAATATATCTAAAATATACTTAACATTTTAAAATATACTTAAAATATACTTAAAATTGCAATTTTAAGTATATTTAAAGTGTAAAATTTTGTACTTAAATTATACTTAAATTATATTTAAATTGCAATTAAGTATATTTTAAATATAATTTAAGTATAAAATTTCATACTTTAAATATACTTAAAATTGCAATTTTAAGTATATTTTAAGTACATTTAAAAATTTTAAGTACATTTTAGATATATTTTAAAAATATATAAGTACATTTTAAGTATATTTTAAAGAATTTTTTTTTTCATAGGGCTGAAAAGCATTTGTATCTCCAGGGTTATTTTTTTGACGAAATTGATAGATCACATTGTACAAATCCTTTTTATATATAAGTTGATCTGGATAGTCATACTTAAGTAAAGGATAAATAGATGCTGAGTCCATTTGACCTTGAATCACATACTTTTCAATATCTGCCAGCATTTTAGGCGTTAATTTTCAAAATCGCGGTGCTATTTCATGAACTATTAAAGTAAGTGAGTGATTATGTTCATTATTAAAAAAATTGATCTTTATAACATCACTTGTTTTTGGACAGGTAACATTAAGTTTCCAAGAGCATGATGTTTTTGAAAAGCTGACATTGTGTCTTTTAGTTGGATTAAAAGTTACTTGAGAAGTATTTGAACCTGATTTGATACATTCATAGACTACCCTTTATATCATGCCTTCAATCTTCTCACTTGATCTGATTTTATAGCTAAAACCTTCTTTTAAAGCAAATCTATTAATCCAACTCTTAAATTCGTTCCAGCTGTTGAAGGTTAGTCCAGCAATCAATTTCAAAGAATCTGTAAGTTCAACCAATTCATCTTCATTATTACTTGTTTCATAATCCTATTAACAAACATTAGAAACAAAATAATTAGATTGCTTATTAGAAGATGAAATTAATGATAGAAGAAAAAAAATTTTATTACTTAATTAGATTGATTTTCATTACAATCAGATAGGTTTTCATTTAGATTTTCGTGAGGGATATCATAATTTAGGATGACATCGTGAGAAAAATTTTTGTGTGTATCATAAAGTAGATAGGTATTATAAGATAGATTTTTAAGAGTGTCATAGGGTAAACAGACGTTATAAGATAGATTTTCATAGTAGGTATTATTATCATAAGTGGGTGGTAGACTTTCATGAGTGTTGTCATAAAGAAAATTTTCATAAGCATCATAAAATAGGGTATTATTGTTAGGAATATTATCACGAATATTATTATAATTATGGGTGTTATCATAAGGATGGGTATTATTGTTATTACTAAACATCTTATATTCTTAATTTCTTATAATGAAAAGAAGAGAAAAGAACAAAGTAATCGATACAGCTACAAAATGTAATGCAAAAATAAACAGTACGTGACTTGTAATAATACGGGTTTAATTTTAAAAATTTATTATATCACGTGATTGATAATACGGGTTTCAAACATCCATGTATAATTTGAAATTCTCTAATTAATAAATGTTTAAAAAAATTTTAAACTATTGTAAAATACTTTATTTAATAATTGAATGCTTTTAAAGAAAATTTAAGTTTCTAAAAATTTAAGGTAAAATTCAATATAATTTTAAAAGGTCACACTATATATAAGGTAAAATTATGAGACAAAACTTTGCTAACAATGCTAAATTTTCATAATGCATTGTGCGATCCTTGTACAAGCCTTGTACAAGGTATTTTAAATCTGAAAATATATAGTACAATATTTCTAACAATCCATTTT